TGCATCTTGGCTAAGGGGTTCTGCTATAAGCAGCTCTCCCAGCCTGCTCCACCCCAGAGGCAACTGCATCTCAGCACTGGAGCAGGGGAGTCCCTGTCTAACCAGTCCTATACCATGTGCTGCACCCCAGAAGTGGTTGCATTGCAGCACCAGGCTAGGGGGCCATGCCTAAACTGCCTATTCTCATGTGCCTCACCCCAGAGCTGGCTGCATCTCATCACCAGTGAGCTTATAACACCCCCCCGCCTCAAATACACCCCTCTGGAGACAGCTGCATCTCAATGCCAGGCAAGGGGTCTGTGCATCAACCAGGCCCTCCAATATGTCTCACCCCAGAGCTAGCTGCATCTTGGCGCTGGGCAAGGTGTCCTGGTATAAGTAGCACCCCTCAACAGGCCCCATCCCAGAGGCAGCTGTGTCTCAGCACCAGGCGAGGGCTTCATGCATCAACCAGCCCCTCCAACCTACCTCTCCCCAGAGCTGGCTGCATCTTGGCATTGTGTATCATAGAATCATAGAGGAGTTAGGCTGGAAGGGACCTCCCCTTGCCTGAGTCAGGATCAGCCCTAGCCAAACCATCCCCTACAAATCCATCATACAACCTCTTAGTAAAACTACCATCAATCCTGACACAACACAAGACATCACACCCAGATCTGCTGGAAAAGGTTGTTCATACATACTTAAGAGGTCCCAGGTAGAGGCCACACTTCCTGCTACAGATGAAGGCAAAACTCCCTCCCCCAGTCTGACTATGGGGTAAAATTCCATCCTGCCCCCAACTGTGGTGATTGGTCTGACCCTGAGCAGAGGGGCAAAACCCGGTAGTGAGGAACTTTGGTCCCAGAGGGTAGTAATTGATGGAAGTCACTCATCGTGGTGTTCTGTGACCAGTGGTGTCCCCCAAGGCTCTGTCCTTGGACCCATACTGTTCAACATCTTCATTAATGATGTGGACACTGGAGTCAGAAGTGGACTGGCCAAGTTCGCTGATGACACCAAACTTTGGGGAAAAGCATACACACCAGAAGACAGGCGGGTGATCCAGGCTGACCTGGACAGGCTCAGCAAGTGGGTGGATGAGAATCTGATGGTGTTCAACACCGATAAATGCAAGGTTCTCCACCTTGGGAAGAAAAACCCGCAGCATCCTTATAGGCTCGGCAGTGCTATGTTGGCCAACACTATGCAAGAAAGAGACTTGGGGGTCAGCATTGACCACAAGATGAACATGAGCCTGCAGTGCGATGCTGCGGCTAGTAAAGTGACCAAAACGCTGGCTTGCATCCATAGATGCTTCTCAAGCAAATCCCGGGACATCATTCTCCCCTTGTACTCGGCCTTAGTGAGGCCGCAGCTGGAGTACTGTGTCCAGTTTTGGGCTCCACAATTCAAAAAGGATGTGGAGAAGCTTGAGAGAGTCCAGAGAAGAGCCACATGCATGATCAGAAGTCAGGGAAGCAGACCCTATGATGACAGGCTGAGAACCCTGGGGCTCTTTAGCCTGGAAAAGCGCAGGCTCAGGGGTGATCTGCTGGCCACCTATAAGTTTATCAGGGGTGACCACCAGTATCTGGGGGAACGTTTGTTCACCAGAGCGCCCCAAGGGATGACGACTAGGTCGAATGGTCATAAACTACTACAAGACCGTTTCAGGCTGGACCTAAGGAAGAATTTCTTTACTATCCGAGCCCCCAAGGTCTGGAACAGCCTGCCACCGGAGGTGGTTCAAGCGCCCACATTGAACACCTTCAAGAGCAAACTGGATGCTCATCTTGCTGGGATCCTGTGAACCCGGCTGACTTCCTGCCCTTTGGGCAGGGGGCTGGACTCAATGATCTTCCGAGGTCTCTTCCAGCCCTAATGTCTATGAAATCTATGAAATCTATTAGCACAGCCCAGTCCCAATCCCTTGCTTTGGCTGCAGCCAACATGCAATGCTTCTAAGGGAGGCTTAAAAACACCCTGGCACATGTAATAGAAAGGGGGGAAGGGCATCCAAGAAAGCCCAGAAGCCTGGGAAATCCCTGTAGCAGAACACAGGCAGAGCTACACCTAAATCATCCCTGACCAGTGCCTGTCCTGCCTCTTGAACACCAGCAGTGCTGAGTGCACAGCTTCCCTAGGCATCTATTCCACTGCCACACTGCTCTAGCTTAGAAGAATTCAGGGGTCCTGGTATAAGCAGGTCCCCCCTTCCCTCCCACACCCCCAGGACAAGGGGAAGTTCTGCCTGACCTACGAGGCCTCCATGACCAGGCTGTTCCGTGAGGGCCGCACTGAGACTGTCCGCTCCTGCTCCATCGAGTCCTGCAACTTCGTCAGGGCCATGATGGACCCAGCACAAAACGTGAGTCTGGGGGGGGGGTCTGCAGACTGGGTGCTGGGGGAAATGAAGGGGGTACTTGGGAAGAAGGCAGTACCTCTTCTACAAGGCCCTGTGGGGGTGGGGTGCATGAACTCTGACCCACTCTTCCCTCCATTCCCCGCTGCCAGCCCCAGCAACGCCTGGCTCTGTTCCGGGTAGCAACCGAGAAGCACCAGGCCTTGTACCGCCGGGCCATGACGGGTGCCGGCATTGACCGACACCTCTTCTGCCTCTACGTGGTCTCCAAGTACTTGGGGGTGGACTCTCCCTTCCTCAAGGAGGTGCGGGGTTGGGGGGCCAGTCTCAGCAGCAGAACTTGGCTAGGCAGGGAGGGGGCAGGACCTCAAGGACAGGGGTGGAGTCTCAAGGAGGGGCAGGGTATGGGCAGGTCTCAGGACCCAGGCTGTGGGTGGGCCTGGAGTGGGGAGAAGAGGTGATTTCTCCAGGTAGGCTTGGGCTTGGCACCCTGGGGTGGGGCAGATCCCAGGGCAGGATGGGGACCCATCCTGGAGAGGGGGTGGGGCTTGGGGAAGGGGAGGGGCAGTCCCTGGAATGGGTGTGGCTTGGGAGATTGGGGGTGAGGCTAAATGCAGTTGGGGATCCCAGGAGGGGGTGGGGGAGGCTTGAGGGTGGGTCAAATTAGGGGGCAGGGCTTATACTGCTGCCTTTCTGGAGGTGGCAGCAGGGTGACAGGCAGGGAAGGAGGAGCCTAGAAGGGAGGGAACCCTCCACCCACAACCCCTCCCACCCCTTCAGGTCCTGGCAGAGCCCTGGGGACTCTCCACCAGCCAGACCCCTGTCCAGCAGATTGAGCTCTTCGACCTCAAGAACCACCCGGACTACATTTCCTGTGGGGGTGGATTCGGGCCGGTGAGTGCCTGGACACCCGGGTTCCAGCCTGGGGTCAGGGATGCCAGGGGCTTTAGCCAGGAGCCCGGACACCTTGGTTCTGTCACCATTCTAATGGGAGGTGTTTAGTGGATCAGAGCAAAGGGGAGCTGGGAGCCAGGACACCTGGGTTGTCTTCCAGTGCTGGTGGGAGGCAGGGGGTGTGGGCTCTAGTGGTGTCAGAGCAAGGAGGAGCTGGCAGCTAGGACTCCTGGGTTTTTTCCCAGGTCTGAGAGCAGAGTCATGGGAAGGTTGAGCAGCCAGGATACCTGGGTTCCACTCCCACCTCCCTGCCCTCCCCCCACCCCTGCAGGTGGATGACAATGGCTATGGCGTTTCCTACATCATCATTGGCGAGGACCTGCTCACCTTCCACGTGTCCTGCAAGATCTCCAGCCCCCAGACGGTGAGTGGCCCATCTGTCCTGTCCGTCTCCCCCCCCACCCCCTGCAACCCAGACTAACCTGTGCTCTCTCCCACTCTTCCAGGATGCTCACCGCTTTGGGGCACACATCCGCTCCGCCCTGCTGGACCTTCTGGCACTGTTCAGTCTAGGCCCAAAGTAGCTGCAGAACCTGTCCCCCTCCCCCTGCAACTCCCAGCACTCCAATAAACCCATGGGAGGCACAGACTTCTGTGTCATATCCTGTAGGGTGATGGGGGAACAGGGCCCTGCCCTGGGGATCTCTAGGGTGACTGCTCAGGGGATGACTGCACTGGCCACAAATGGGGCCCCCCACGGGAGGACTAAATGCCTTGGCTGTGGGGGTCAGATCCTTGCAATCAGGGACTGCTGATTGACCTTTCTGTGCCCCCCCCCAAAAAAAAAAAAAAAAGGAGATTCCAGTCATTTTAGCCTTGGGGAGCCTACTGTGGGGAGCAGGACCCCATTCCCCTTGCTGTGGGGTGAGAAGATGGGGGAGGGGGGGGATGATCAGGGTTAGCCTGATCCCCAGATACCCTCCCAGGTCTGGGATAGAACCGAGGCGTCCTAGCTTCAAACCCCACCAGGGGGGCGCTGTGGTAGAGGGAGTAGCCCAAGTCCCGTCGCGCGCGCCCCCCCCCATGTTGCTGTCGTTTGCTTGTGTCTGTTTTGGGGACGGGATAGTTTAGGGGTGATGTGTGGAGGAGGGAGCAGTCGTGTGTGTGTCGTCGTGTGTGTTTGTCCCTGTCTCTCCCCCCCACCCTGCACAGGGGAAGGGGACCAGCCCCACCCACCATGGCAGGGTGGGACAGAGAACAGAGGGGTTTGTTGCCAATGCTGACAAACAAACAATAAAGTGTCCCAATTGCACCAGGCGGGTGGTTTCTCTTGGAGGGGGAGATGGGGTGATGTCTGAGGAAACTTTTCCCAGTGCTGTGAGTTTCCCCCCAGCCAGTGTCCTTATGTAGAAGGACATAATGGGGAATGGATGATGTGTGGGGAGTGATGGGGGAATTGGGGAAGGAGTGATGTCAGGGGGCTGATGGGGGCATGGCTGGGGGAGAAGCAGTGTTGGGAGAGGGGTGTCAGGCTGCTAAGGGACCAGGGGAGGGGCACAGCCCCGAGACCTGCCCTCCCCATGACAAGGTCAGGACAGCAACTCTTTGAAGCATCCCTGTCACCCCCAGCCAGGGGCTTCACCCCCGAGTCAGCTCCCCACCTGCTGCCCTCACCCCAAAGAGGCACAGGCAAGGGTATGGTGCCCAGGGCTTTACTGGAGGCTGTAGTTCTCCCTGCTGCAGGGCTTGAGGGACACCAGGGGGGCTCCCTCTGCTGACAGCTGGGCCTGCAGGGAGCTAAGCCGTGTGTGCAGGGGGTCCAGGCTGAGGGGCTTCTCCCTATGGGGCAGAAGGGAGGTTAGATCCAGACCTAGAGCAATGCCCCTCACCCCATGCACCTGCCTGGGCTGGCACAGTGCCCCCCCCAGTTCTGCTGGTGCCCCACACTCCCAACCTGCAGCCTCCTGCCCTGCCCAGCCAGTGCGCCACACTCCTGATTTCCAGCTCCCTGCCCCCCATCCCTGCTCCCCTTCACTCTGACCAGCAGCCCCCTGCCCTGCCCAGACCTGCCAGTGCCCCTCACTCACTGGGAGCTGATCCAGGCCTGCTCCAGGTAGGTCTTGGCTCTCAGGGCCTCATCCTGGGCCAGGCGCAGGCTGGAATTCAGCGTCTCCACCTGGGTATGGGTCTCTAGAGCCTCCTGCTCCAGGTCCTGGGGGGGAAGGAAGGAGAGAGTTG